GAGGAGGAGGAGGAGGAGGTTTCCCGCTTGCCCGGCGCTTCCAGCTGCCCTTGGGCTCGAGAGCGCGCCCCGGAGTCGGGAAGCGGGAGGAAGGGGGGCGAGCGAGCCGGCGAGGCCATGGGTGCCGCCTGAGCGGCGAAGTGTGACGGGGGCGTGCGGGGGGCTCCGGCCGGCCCTCTCCCTCCTCGGCCCGGCGCCGCCATGGTGAAGGAGGAGTGCAAAGCGCTGCTGGACGCCCTGAGCAAAGTGACCGCCTGCTACCGGCACCTGGTGCTGACCATCGGGGGCACCTCGGACTCGCAGAACCTGCGCGAGGAGCTGAAGAAGACCCGGCAGAAAGCCCAGGAGCTGGCCGTGGCCAGCCGCAACAAGCTCACCGCGGCCCTGAGGGACAAGGCGGTGGGCAAAGAGGACAAGGCGGAGTTCGAGAGGCTCTGGGTGATCTTCTCCACCTGCCTGGAGATCCTGGAGACCGACATGAGGCGGGCGCTAGAGCTGGGCCACGAGTTCCCGCTCAATGTGCCCAAGAAGCCGCTCATCCAGACGGGCATGAGCGGCGGCACCTCCGCGGTCGCCGCCCGGGCCATGAGCGCCCAGAACATGAAGTACGAGGCGGACACCAACATCGATGTGGTGGACCTCAAGGACTTGGAGAACGAGATCAATCAGGTGGGGGAGATGATGTACGAGATGGAGATGAAAGTCAGTGTCCCGCAGTGGACGGTGGAGGCGAAGCAGGACCCTGGAGCGGAGCTGAAGTCCACCATTAGCGTGGGCGCCTCTTCCATCGGCATGATTTCGGTGGAGGAGAACAAGTCCTTTTGCGATGTTAGCAAAGTGCTCGCAGGCATCATATTTACTGCTGTGCTCCTCATCGCCATCATTCTGGCTGTCTGTGTAGCAAAACTCTCCTAACGTCGGGCATGCTGGACATAAGGCTTCCCCTGCCCACCTGGAGAGCTACAGGCAAGAGAGGTCTCATGGCCAGAGTATGGGTCTCTAAGCAATGGGAAAATATTTAACACTGGATCTCTGGAATGGAGACACCAGTCTGTTTGGGATCCCCAACAGCAGGGATATGTGATATTCTAGATGTAAAGTCCATCCAAGGTACATCTACAGTATTTGTGGAAAAAGAAAGATATTATGTGTCTATTTGCTTGGCCTGTCACAGTTAATACAAAGGTATTACAACTACCATAGGGATTTAACCGCTATTTATAGATGACTGTTCTCTGTAATCGGAAGCAAATATTGTTTGTAAATAGACTCTGGTGATAGTCTGTGTTTACAAGTGGGTTACAAATTGCACATGATTTGGCAGTGGGAGTGGAGTAGGTGACAAAATGAAGAAAACTGAGAATTACTAATTTCAGACAAAAAAGATACTGTGTTTGCAGCAAATCATTTGTTTTCTCTCTCTAAACCATGTTTTACTTTTTTTAAATACCCCCGAGTTAGACCTGAAAGCTTGTGCTTTATTTTTTGGATCAAATGTTACAAAGACCCAAACATTTAGGATTTGTGTGTATGTGGAAGATTTCATTGCACTTTTTTTTGGCATGGCATGCAGTGTCAAAGGCAATCCAAATCTGCAGAAGACAGATTAAGCACCATTTACAGAGATCTCTTAAGAAGCCCCGTTTTTAATTCAAGGTTGCATAAGATATTCTACCACTTGTATTTTGCAGGGACAGACTTCTTGACAGTTCAGGTTCTTAATTCCATGCCACTCAAGTTTAAAGACTATATATAATGCCCCCTCCCTCTCCTATCTCTGACTTGCTTCCAAGTATGTGTGCATGATTTACCTCCTTGAAGTCAATTATGGTTGAAACCTGTATTTCCCTACTGAACTAAGATTTTGAATTGTGGATAAATATGATTTCTAATCTTCATGTTCTGTGCACTGAAAGTGAACAGTGGGATTAAACTTGGTAGAAGGAATTCGTCCAGAGTTAAATAGGATTTATTCCCTACTAAGTAAGATTCTCTCTTTGGGCCCTTGCTGGTTTTAAGTTTTTTCTTTCTCCCCAGAATTGGTACCCAAGATGGCTACAATCATAAGCAGACTCGTAATTATTTCCTCTTAGTTTGGTGGGGCTTCTTTCCATTTAATGAGTCAAAGTTGAAGCATCAGTGTGGCCCGTATCTTTTTTGTTTATTGTGCAACACTGTAACAGGATATTAAATATAATGTTGGAACACTTGAAACTGCTGTACAGTGAGACAGATTACTGGGCCATTTTAGCTCAAAATTATTGACTTTACTGACAGCAATTCACCAGGTGTTTCAGATAGAAGATGCCAGGGGCTGAACTATTTTGATTTGATGCTTCAAGTAGGAGACCTGATCTCACGTTGACACTCTGAAGTTTACACACGTGCATCTCCTATTACTGTTAATGGGATTTAGATATTTACCTGCAGGAATCAAGAAGATTAGAATCAATCTTATAATCTTTAACATGTCCAAGTGCTAGCACTAATGTGACTTGGTTGGACCTATAGCTGATACAAGGGCCATGAAAGGTGAGAACAGAGTGGTATATAAACGTAGAATTTGAGCTTTATATGAGAAAAAATAATTTTTTCATAGGTTTTTTTAAAAGAATTATCAGCATCCAACACAAATATTGGTCAGTATCCTGTTGGTAGTTGACACTTAAATAAATCCCAGAATCTGTGGATCTATTCTTATTGGAACTAGAATAGGATACTTGCTATTATCTCTTTAAGATGTGTCATTTATTCAGTTTATAACATACAGATTATATAATTATGTTCTCTAAAAGGGGATTCATCAAACACATGAGGAATGTCTCTCTTCTTTCTAAGCAAAGCCCTTCATAGATTATAAGACTTGAAATTTTGTAACAGTAACTTGTCAATTAATGTACAGTTATATTGTGAAAAGCTAGTGCCACTGCCAAACCATGTAGACTCATGGCAGGGAGCTCTTGGGAGTTAAGGAGCCAGATTGCATCTCCACTCTGGAATAGTTTGGCAGGCTGGCTTACATCAGGGCACAGTTCCTCCAGGGCTCTCCCTAGTCCACTGTTTTCCAACCTGGGGGTCATGACTCTCAAGGGTCATGTGCTTTCTGGTGAATCATGGGGTCACCTCATGTGTTTTGTAGCCCTTGTTAAATAAGTTCTTCCTTGACCTTTCAGACAGGATATTAAAGTTAGCATGTATGTATATGTATGAGAAACAGGCCTCTACTTTCTGAGAAGGGGTGACTTTACTCCATTAAAATGCCTTTTTAATACAAACATGGCAGGGGTTTGAGTCACAGATTACTTAGCTATTATAAAGGGGGATTGTAAATTTAAAAAAAAATTAGGAAACACTGGTCTAAACAGTATCAATTTTGATGGTCCAATGGTCTGAGAGTATAGGATAGTTAATTAGATTTTGATCAAGCAAATAGCTCAAGAGCAGCTGCACTGCCACAGGGTTAACAAGAAATTACTGTACAGTTAAGTGGGAAAATCTCATAACTTGACACTAAAGCATATTAACTTGAAAGTAAAGAAACAAACTATTACCTATTCATCAATGTCTTGAATTTAACCAATTGCTCCTTCTTAACCATATTATTTGGAAGTAAACTTCATTCATGTCAATGGAATTTCCAGTCTGTTCAGAATTGTTATGAAGCTTCCTTCCAAGTGGATTATGTACAGACCAGTCCTATCTGTGTTTTCACAGAAGTTTCTATTGGGTTCAGTGGATGCTGGTGATCTTAAGAATACTTGGAAGTCACAAAGAAATAGATTTCCAACTATGCATCAGACTGTGCTTTGTGGGAATAAGCCCCCGCTGTTCATACCTTGAATTTAATATCTGTGTCAACTTGCGTACAAATGGAGGTCCCAGTGAAAATATAATAATAATTTTAGAATTGCAGAACTGGAAGGGACTCTATGGATCGCAGAGTCCAGCCCCTGTCTAGGAGGCATAGTGGGGAATCGGACTCCCAGCCTCTGGCTCCTCAGCCAGATACTTAAACCACTGAGCTATCCCTCCATTTCCAGGTATGTGTATTTAGGTAAAAATAGAATGTTAGATGGCTAAGCTATAATTTAAGTGAAAAGATTCTGACTGGTTAGTGCTAAACACATTTTCTTCAAAGACTTCAGTGTCACCACATTAGCTTCTGTGGAAATGTAAAGTTAGGCTTATTTATGTGTGTGTAAATCTATCAGTCTTCACAAGCTACCTAAAAATGATGGAACCACATTTCAGGTTGCCTATGCTGGGAATATATTTCTATCCTACAAATTTTTATAGACAGAAATTCCATGAAGTATGCATAAAATGAGATTCTGACTTGTTTTTGGCTTCAGTTTGAATTATAGCCAGGCAAGACTCCTGAGCGTGTTAACTCAGAAATAATCAGGTGTTTTTTATAAGCAGATGTGCTAAAGATGGCATCCTTAATTATGATATAAGTATCAAGGTACCAAGTGGTGTAGCGGATAGAGGACTCAGGAAATCTGGATTCATTTCCTTGACTCTGCCATGGAAACCCGTGCAGGGCGGTGGTGGAATGGAACTGGTAAAACCACTCCTTAAATACCTCACTTACCTTGAAAACCCTATCAGGGTCGCTACAGATCAGAGTTTTGACTTGACAGCACATAAAAACAATATATGTATCAAACCTATTTTGATATAGTATGTGATAGTTAATAACTGGTGTTGCGTCTAACAATGATCCCAAGGTATGGCACAGACTTGGAGTCTTATTTATTCAAGACGACAGAGATAATATCAAAAATGTACTTTTGTTGGTGCTAAAGATCTGCTCAAACTGCTGCTATTGATCATGTCTCTATCTAATGTCACTTAAACACTTGTTCGTTCAAAGCTGGGGTGGACAAAATGCAGTTCTCCTTATGTTGGAGTGTAATTCCCACCACCCCTGGCTAACGTAATCTGTGGTGGGAGTTGCAATTCTACAAAGACTGGAGAAATAACTACCTTGCCCACTGCAGATTTAGAGTAGCCTGTCTTTGCTATAACAAGGGCTGCACATTTTTTTCACTATGATTCAGTCTTTTAATGGGAAAGCACCTACACTAAAAGCTCTCTTAAATCGTCAGCAGGTGCCACCAGGGAGAAAAAAATTGCAGGAGATAACTTAGAATAGTTAGAGCGATGCTTTCAGTATTTCTTACAGAATGTGCAAAGAATACTGGAAAACATTGTATTCTTTGCATATTCCAAACTCCAGTTCAAGAGATGCTGCTACAGTCCTCATTCTGGAATAAGCAGGAAACCCAGATGCAATTCATGTTAATATTTTTATCACTCCAACTTGAACATACTGCCATTTCTGTTTGTTTCTGCAGTACTGTTAGGTTTATGAGATATAAATACAGTATATTGATTTTGTTCACATATAAGATTTGCTTTGGAAATGATTTCGGTTTGTGCTCCAGGAGCTCCAAATTGTACAAGAAGTACCATTTTATTATATAATTATTTATTCTTAGATCATTACTGTAGTTCCCAACCTTGGACTGTTTTTGGACTGCAACTCCCAGAAACTGCAGCTAGCACAGCTAGTGGTGAAGGCTTCTGGGAGCTGCAGTCCAGGAACACCAGGATTACCCAAGGTTGGGAACCACTGTTAGATGGATTTGGGCAACTTTCCTTGCCAATATGTATTTTTAAGTAAATGTATTTTAAGAAGTGGTATTACTCATGTTGTGTGGAAGCGAATGTCACTTTCGAATTGGCCTCCTCAGCCACACTAGACGCTGTTCCAAATCCTCTATTTAGAGCACGTTACCATAGTCCCTCGAGACTGAAGGATGCCTAATCTAATCTAAATTACTCATGTTTACAAATCAGGAGCAGAGTGTGAATCTACTTGTGTCTCTGACAACACAGTTAAGACATCTCATTTAACTTGTTTGTTTCTCTAGATGACTGTTAATATCAACTAGGATTATTTCAGTGTCCATGAAATATAAAGACAGAATCAAATCTGGCAAAGGAGCGGCACCTTCTAATTAGCTAATGTCCCCACCATTAATCTCCCATGTATGCCCTCTATGATTGTATGTGCAATGTGACCTGGTCACAGCCGTCTCCTGCTTGGTCTACTAAACTGAACTCCATGCAAAGATAGTCAGGATTTCTGTAGATAGTGATGCAGAATAATACATTTTGACAGGAGTCAATAAAATATACTGATGAACCTCTCTTTTCTGTGTGATGCTGAAAATTTTGAGAAATGCACTCATTTTGAGAAATATTGGTGGATTATTAGTACAAATTGTCCTTCAGGCCATCCAGCAGAACCAAAGATATTCACATTTGTCACTGATAAAAACAGTACTGGCACATTCTAAATCTCTTCTAGGAGGATTTTAAAGCATAAGGGGCCTAGCCTAACAATTGAACCACTTAATAGTTGGCATTTTTAATATATATTTCTCAGAAAATATATTTATAGAAACAGTCTGCAGCCGATAGACCTCAATAAACAGTTTTTAAAAAACAAAGATAATTAAAGTTGAAGCTTGGGCTTTGCTAAGATATATACACAAGTTTTTTCCTTCTTTATGGCCTGATAATTCTCTAATGTTTACAGCCTTAGCTATTTTTATTGTTGTAAGAATGTATATTTTCACTGAGAAGGCAAAGGAAGACTTTTTGTAAACTATGGGTTTTTCTAACAAATCAACTTTGCTGTATTTTACAGACTATGATAAAGGCTTTAGAGGACTGTGACTGTTCCACAAATTATAAATACCAAGTTTTTGGTATAAAACGAAGAAAAGCATTGTGGATATCTAACATTCAAATGTTTGTTGTGGGGTTATATTGCAAAATTGTTTTAGTATGAATATGGAAGTGTTAAATTATAAGCTGGCATTATTCCATCTGTGCAAGAGTATGACTTTTCGCTCAGTATAAAACCTGCCGTTATTATTTATTTAAAATAAAGTCTGTTCTGTTAACTTTCCACCCTGTTTGCAATAACCTTTTTTCAAGCAACAGATGCCTAAGCTTAAGCTTATGAATCAAACTGAGTTATATTGTATGCCAAATCACTTAGATAAGCCAAATAACCCAATTTAGTACTACACAATTATGGCAGAATACTGTACGTACAGTTCAGAGAAATTGTGGTTAACATGTGTCTCCCTTCCATGAAGGCGCTGAACTTTCAACTCCCATCATGGCTGATCATGGGGCAGGGGCTGATAGGACATGGAATCCAACCTTGTCCAATGGGATATAGGCTTTTTTATTAGACTGGCAAGTGCCCAGGAGATAATTTACTATGGCATACATGCATGGAAAGCCAAAGAGCTAGACACCGTGCATGGGGGTCTCAAAATTATATTTAAATGGTATCAATTGCTTTTATCTTGAAACAAGTACAAACATGTCATCCTTGCAGGATAAATACATAATGAAATGAAAACTGACTTCAAATAATAAGTTCTGTTTTCCTATCAGTAATACCCATGGTAATTCTCAGAAATATATCAGACTAACTTAAATTGTTAATCCCAATTAGCGTAGACTTATTTAATTGTTTAGACTTTTGTAAGTGTTCACTTGCCAAAGTCCCATTGATTCATTAAGTACAGTATACTCTAGCTTGGACTAAGAGTTGGATTTACAGTAGTTTATTATAACTAAACCACACTCACTTGGAAAATCCATAAAAAATAAGGGCACTGACTATAATGTACCCATGTCAACAACAACAGTGGAGGCATTCAAGTTAAAAATGGACAGCCATCTGTCAAATATAGCTTTGATTTGGATTCCTGCACTGAGCAGGGGTTGGACTCAATTGGGCTTATAGGCTGCTTCCAGCTCCATTATTCTATGATAACAATAATAAATTGCATGCCATCAAGTTGATTCCAATTCATAGCAACACTTTCCAGGCTTTTCTAGGTAGAAAATAAACAAAGGGGTATACCATTTCCTTCTTCTGGGGGCCTGAGACTGCAGTTTGACCAAGGCCACACAGGCTGGCTCTTCTTCCAAGAGGCGCAGGAGGGAATTGAACTCCCAACACCTAACTCACTGAGCTATCCAGCCAAACTATGCTTATAGCAAGATGCTAATCTTTGAGTTACTCAAGCATCTTCACAGCACTGCTAGCACACATTCCCTTCACAAGAGATTTTATAACTCTGTAGGAAATACAGTAAATGGGAAACAGTCAGCTGCAATTTTCATTGCTTTACTAGAAGGATCTTCAACTGAAAAAAAAATTGAATGTAAATCTATGCATTTTGAATACAAGCTCAGTAATGTTTAATGTAATTTGCTCATGAGTAAAAACAGCAAATCAAATGTGGATGTATGAAATTAAAGTTGAAAACAAACTGAAAAGGCCAGAGGATGTAGTACCAGAGGATTGTTTCTAAATAAAAACAAAATCCAAGAGGTCTTAGAGCTCCAAGCCTTCCGGCTGAAAATTAAGGGTTTGGAATAATTTGTATATAAATAAATGTTTGTAAAGCGCCTCATCAGCATATTTACCCTTCACAGATTTTCATTATATAAAAAGTCATTCAGGAAGACCATTGGATTATAGTCCTCTAAATGCTTTCTCTCAATACGATTATGTTAGTCTTTTAATGCAGGCTGAGGTCTGGGTGAAAGAATAGAGCTACAACGTGAGCAGTCGACTGCAACGGGAAGCATACAGTACAGCTAGGATTACTGAATGACTGTTTTCTAAATCTTATGTGCTTTTCTGCATTTGGCAGGTATCATAGTATATGGCAGGAAATAAAATTTTAGTCCAATATGTAAACACATGGCATAAAATGCAATGACATGTTTTTTGTTCTGATTCCACTAGGTGTACACTGCAGGCTGCATAAACAAAATAATGGATGCTTTCCACAAAGTACTGAAATTGAAAGTTTAAGATAATTCTGTTTGAATGCTGAAATCATCAAAGAGG